AGAGAGAGAGAGAGAGAGAGAGAGTTTCTTCTGCATACAAGTTTTCCTCATCGGTATGCTTTGATAACTTACTGCTATTAATAATTTGTTGAGAAACTCAACAGAAATTTTATAAATTATCTTCACTAGCATCAAAGAATCCCAAAAGGAGAATGCTGTTTTCTTGCAAGAGCAAACACTTGAGCAATCTAGCACTGAATATGAAGTTTTATTTCACCTTGGAATATTCCTTAGGGACCATATTACTGTGGAACTGGGGCCGACAAGGCGTTTGGGCGTGACATTTCAGATGCTCACTACAAAGCGTGCTTATACGCAGGGATCAACATTAGTGGTACTAATGGTGAGGTCATGCCTGGTCAGGTAAGCTTCTCCTCTCCTAGGTTTCTCTCTCGATCTTTTATTGCCATGGCTATTGCTTTAAGACACTGTTTGAAAAGCCGGCCTCAACTTGTGACTTGGCCAGGGACTGAACTCGCCTTTTTTGCCATGGCTATTGCTTTAAGTCAGTGTTCGAAAAGCTGGAATTAACTTGGGACTCGGCCATGTACCGGGCTCCACTTTCTTGTCATGGTTATTGTTTTAAGTTAATGTCTGGAAAGCCGGACTCAACTTGAGACTCGGCCCCTGACCGAGCTTGCCTTTCTTGCTATGTCTACTGCTTTCCGTGTTTGAAGAGCTGGAATTGACATGGGACTTCTGATATGGGCCGGTTGCTTCAAGTTAGTGTTCGAAAAGCAAGGCTAAACTTGGGCTCAGCCATGGACCAGGCTGATCCTGTTTGTGGAGTCCCAAGTCTGCTAGGCAAGTCTATCTGAGTCTGACTTCTCAAACATCAAAAAATTATGAACAATATTACGAGCCTGAGTAGCCATTGTTTGGCTTTCGCTTTAAGTAGAGATGGTCATTAAAGAGCTGCGTAGCGGTCACTTTGGATTTTGAAGGGGGAAAGAAAAAGAAGAAGAAAAAGAAAAGCAGAAGTACATAGTTGCAATGTGCTATTTTCTTTATTTTGAATTTCGTTGGTGCAGTGGGAGTATCAAGTTGGTCCAAGTGTGGGTATTGATGCAGGAGATCACGTATGGTGCTCGAGATACCTTCTTGAGGTGATTTTCACTTCTCCTTAATTATCAAATGTGAAATATTATTCATTTAACATGAAAAGTAATAATTGGAAATTTTTATTAATCCTACTAAAGAATATTTATAAACATCATAATTTGAATGCGTCACTTGGAAAAACACCAGGATAAATATGTTTCTGTTAGATCAATTTTTTTTTTTAATGTTTTGTTCTCTACATGAGAGGCTTATTTTCTATTCTTTTCTGAAAACTAACAGAGAATTACAGAGATGGCAGGTGTCGTTTTGTCCCTGGATCCTAAACCAATTGAGGTTTGTAAAATGCTTTGCTTCCTATCCCTGTACATAAATTTTGATTGCTCTTCTTTTGTTCTTGTTTTTGAAAGTTAAACTTTGATGGTTATTCAAATGTTATTCTAAAATATTTGGTTCATTTTCATACTCATTTTTGGTGAATTTGCAGGGCGACTGGAATGGTGCTGGATGCCACACAAATTTCAGGTATTTCAATTACTACATCGGCAAATAATTTTAATGATTTATGCCGGTATTAATTAAGATTTTTTCCATTACAACAAAAAACCTGAAAAGAGAAAGTATTTAGAAAGGCTGTTAATTTTTTGGTATAAGTAGTTGGTATCTCCTGTGGCCATTAGATGTGAAATTGGGTTGTTGGGAATGCACCAGTGATTGTACTTGTAGTCTAAGAAGATTTTCCTCAGAGTTTGTTCAGGAAAATGTCACACTGAAGTCATCTGATTCTAGACAGATGAATTGGGGTGTTTGTGACCTTGGCGTGCAAAAAGTAATGGTCTCATTGCATACAGTCACAAACTATTCCCATGTTTTACTTAGTTCTTAGACGAGGTAAATACCCTTGAGCTATTGAACTGACCACATTTTAAGTTCACTAGCCTGGTCTAAATGATCAATGTGCCCCCAGACAGTTATAACTTAGGGAGCATGCACAAGTGCTTGGTATCCTCACCTTACTCATACTGACAAAATTGCTCCAACATGCAAGTTTATCCTCAAATGTTTATTAGTCCACATGCATATTTAGAATTTGACTTGGGGAAACCTTGATACTTTCGACAAGCATAGGAGCATGTACATTCTTCATACTCTAAGGCCCCATTCAGATGTCCACTTTTTTAGGCTTAGGTATAAAACACCCTTATAGTTGGTGTGCGAGCTTGTTGTCCTTTCAGTTAATAGGCTCAACTCCATCGATCAAACCTTGTTTACTGGCTGACAGTAAGGTTTTACTGATAGCAATAAATGAAGAAAGAAAAACCTCTTTCGCTGCTAAACAAGGATATGGTTACATGCATTTATGTCCAACAATACACAACTATTTTCTCAGTTGCTCATAATGGCAGATGGAGAGATAAGGCTAGAGTAAACTATCAAGATGTCCAAATGGTGTCTTAACCTCTCCTGTAAATGACCCAGATTACCTTTTTCTTCGTAAATATTGTAATTCTTGTTACTTCATTGAACTGTATTTCCTTGTTGCTTCAGTACCAAGAGCATGAGAGACGAGGGAGGTTATGCAGTGATTAAGAAGGCAATTCGCAACCTCTCTTTGCGCCACAAGGAGCACATCGGTGCCTATGGAGAAGGCAATGAGCGGAGGCTAACCGGGAAACATGAGACTGCCAGTATCGACACATTCTCTTGGGTAATTTAGGAAACCAACCATACTTTTTTATTGATGATGTAGATCTTGGGTTTTTTTTAGAAATAACATAATTCCTAGATAATTAATCTAAAGGGAAAGCTTTCTATGCTTCCCCTACAGCATAAAACTTATATACTTCCCCTTATCCAATCGTCCATTCTGAATGAAGGGCTAAGATTGCCCCAATCACAATGTCACGTCTTTACACTATTTTATTTTTAATTTTATTTTTATAAACTATTTTGACACCAAATTTTGGACGTCCAATCCTCTATTAAATCGCACTAGCGAAAAATATTTAAAAAATATTTTCAATAGAATAAAATGACCAAAATACCCTTAAAAGTTTCAAGGGGTATTTTGATCATTATATTTTATCGAAAATTTATTTTTAATATTTTTTATAGCGCGCCCCAGTGAGAAGATGGCATGTACCAAATTTCATATTCATACAATTTTTTGAAAAAACTAAAATAAAATACTTTGATACGTCGGATCAAAGATCAAACGGTGAGTGGCTCTCTTAATCAAAATTGGACGGCTGGATGGTAGGGGAAGCATAGATCTTCTATGCTGTAGGAGAAGTATAGAAACCTTTCCCTAATCTAAATGCTGGATATTATTGTCAGCTTACTCCAGCTGTTTGATTTGATGATTGGATAACTTTAGACATATGTAAATTATACGTGTGTGGAGATGTCTAAATATAAAGAAGACTTTGAATAATTTGAATAGAGATGAAAGGGAACTTTCTAACGTACATTCTCTTTACAGGGAGTTGCTAATCGTGGTTGCTCAATCCGAGTGGGGCGTGAAACAGAGAAACAAGGGAAAGGTGGGCTTCTCCCCTATTGTCTTTATCAAGAACTTTGACACTCTTTTCATTAAGTGATTATAGTGTTATAGTCGATATATGCAGACATTTGCATGCATAATGCACATACATGCATACATATCCATACATGTATGCTTGCAACCGCAATCACTAGGCTTAGCAATAGGCTGGGTGGTCCGGCCCTGCTAAAGCTAAGTTCCAAGTCAATATATTGGGCATTTCATGACCTGGCCTGGCTCGGCTCGGCCACAACTAAAGGAAGGCTGAGGCCCGCCTTGACCGAAGGGCCGAGCCATGGCCATTGCCAGGCTCTGGCCTGTAGGTCTAGGGTTGGTCCAAGCAGGTCACCCTAGCAATAACTAACAATAACAATGCTGAATTTGCTTATGATGGCAATGACTATTCTCTTTAGTTCTTTGACATACACATTTTCTTATAGGATACTTGGAGGATCGACGACCTGCCTCTAACATGGACCCATATGTTGTGACATCGCTCCTTGCTGAGACGGCAATCTTGTTTGAACCAACCCTAGAAGTCGAATCTCTTGCGGCTAAGAAACTTCAGTAGCAGGTATAGGGCAAAAAATGCAAAGAACGATGAATGAGTTGTCCACTCATTTCAAATGAGCATGTAGCCTTAAAGAGACGTTACCAATGTAGATTTGTGCTCAAAGATGGCCGTTAAGTACTCCATTGCTGAAAATTTCAAGCCGCTGAAGAAGATAAGAATAATCAGGACTGTCATGGCTTTGAGCTTGCCCTGTATTAATTTTTGACCATGGGCATATGTATTTTGATTGTTTTAGCATTGAAGATGAGAACTTCTGCCATTGAAGGATGTGAGGCCATAATTCAAATTTGTCATGTTTGACTTAGTTTATAATATACCATGCCCCATAAACTTTACTGGTTATGGAAGTTGGGAATTTTTATTGGACAGGTTAGCTTGATTTGCATAAGATATAAACCTGCATTCAAATCCCTTTATGTCTTTCTTACAAGATAAAATACTTGATACCCCAATGTTAGAGATACAGAGATTTTCCCATTTTTAATCAAGTTCAAGAAGCATTCCCGGATAATGAGTTTACTATATGTTCTTGACAAGGCTCCCTTTGTATCTGTTTTTCAAATAAACACAGATATAATTAAGGAAAACTAAATTAATTGGTGGGGGGTAAGGCGTCCAACCTAAAAAGTGTGCACCCCTCATCTTCTTGGAAGATTCAGATGCAAGTCTGCAAATTCTTCCTCTTGACCACCCCCAAGATTAAAATCTTATAAAAAATGGTGTTGAGCTTTAGAAGTGCTTATCTTGAATGTCATCTCAACACGATATTTGGAATACTTAGATTTTCACCATCTTAAGAGTATCAAATCTATTTGTCTAGCACAAAAATGGAATTGCAGGACTTAGGAAGGGTTGTTGAGTCCTCCATCTTACAGAATAGATGAATTTTGAGGGCCTTGTACTATTGATACCCTTGAGAAACATCGAGCTTTCCATGCGCCTCCGCGTGTACAACCTATGTGTTTGAAGCAATGGTTTAAAAAGCGGATCGGTGATTCGGATCGGGCACCTAAAAAATCGATCCGGATTGGCAATCCGGATCGAGAATCGACTGAATAGGTCGGATTAAAGCTTCACAAAAAAATCCGAAAAAATTATTAAAATTCATTATAAATATTTAGTTTTTAGGAATCCAATAAGAATGAAGGTACTACATTATTAACTTTCTATTTTTTCAT